GCAAGTTTATAGGATCCTTCAAGAAATAACTTGACTAACAGCCTAGAAATGACTGCATAAAAGATGCGCTCTAGTTCTAATGAAAAATATTTTTCAAAGCTTTTCCTGTCCAAATTGAAAAAAAAAAAAAGCATCCAAAGGATACATTTATGAGGTCATATGCTGAGGACAGAAGAACAAAAGGCAGGCCTTGGCAAGAGTACACATTTCAAAAATATAAAAGTTTAATTTTAATCAGTTGCAGTAATATAAAGATTAATACATTAGTGATCTGTAAATGCAGATTAACTGATGTCATTCTGGAGCAACAGATTAAATTTCCACAGCATACTTACCTGTTTAGGATGCCCAAAGAGAGGAACAACAGTTGCTTGTTATCGTTAAACTACCTTGCCTGCACAGAAATTTTCTATGCAAAAGTGCCATAACTATTGTGTAGAACACCATAGAGCACTTCCGTTGTGAGGGATGCAATTTAAATCTACAGATACGTCCCTAACCTACCTATCAGCAGTGTTTCCAGGCTTAGCTGACTACTGAACTTTCAGCTTTTCACATGGAAGCATTACAGAAAGTCAAAGCACTGCTAACATGAATTGTAACCAAACAGACCCTTGCCCTATTTGCAAATAGTAGACATATCTTCATCTCTCAGTGATATTCAGCATGCTGAATGCCAGTTAAGTCCCACCAGTTATATAAAGTGTTAAAAATATAATAGAAAAGGCAACAGATACCTTGAAGTGAAAACTTTGTTTCATTCAGTATTTTACTGTATCTTCCTACACTCATCCTTACTTGGGGAATAAACTTCAGCAATACCTGAAGGAAAGTTAACACCTGTCACTGAGCATAAGAAAACAGAGAATAAGGTGACCTTTCTTACTTAGCAGTACTATGAATATCTATTGGCCACAGAAGATTATGATTAAAAAAAATTCTTTGGTCTTCAAAAGATTTCTTCTTAGTTTAAGAAATTGTGATTTTCCTTCTACAAATTCAGGTTCAAACTCAGATCTCCATGGGAAGAACTGAAATACTCTTCACAGTTACTGTATTAATGTCTTAAGTATAAAATATCTAAAACTTAGTTAAATACTGTGATGAAAAGTGGTTCAGAAAGAAGCTTCTTTTCTCCTCTAAGTATAAAATACACAAAATTTTCCAGAGCAAGCAAATGAGTAAACATCTACATGAAACATTTCGTCCTGGCTTGAGTTAGAAGAGTTACGCCATGAGCATAGCACTGGTCAGATTCAGTTCCCCAAGATACCTTAGTGAGCTGAGATGACTCATCGTGTCCTAAGAACATAATGAAAAGTTTATTTCATACATTAGCATTGAGATCTTCATTTTCCATCAGCTTTCTTCACAGTTATGTATTGTTCTATTCTCACAAAATGGAAGAAGTTGTATAACCATGGAAAGACAAAACCATTTTTCACTGGCTAAAAACCATGTGGGGTTCTATAAAATGTACCAAATAGACCATTTAGTATCATTAGTTTAGAATACTGGCAAAAACAGAAGGCAGAAGCTTATTAACAACTGCATTCATTCAGGGATTTACTAAGGTGCTTTTCAAAAAGGTAGTTAGTCATCAAATTAGTCTCAAGCAAAGGATAACGTATAACTCTTCTATGATTCTAAAAAGTTCTTTACTGTGAGGGTGGTGAGGCACTGAAACAGGTTGTACAGAGAAGTTGTGGGTGTTCAAGGTCAGGTTGGACGGCACTTTGAGAACCCTATACTAGTGGAAGGTGTTCCTGCCTGTGTCAGGGGGGTTGGAACTAGATGATCTTTTAAGGTCCCTTCCAACCCAGACCATTCTATGATTCTGTGAACACAGGTTTTTCACTTCTGATTCCTATGTTAAAGGTAAAAGGCACATGCAATATTTGTTTGCACAATTAGGCAACACAAAATTGAATAACACATGTATTCAGTTTGGCATCAAAAAGCAGATAAAAATGTAATGGAAAAGAAAGCCAGGTTATATAATTCAGTGGTAAATGTTTCTAAAATTGTTTTCAGTGTGAATGGTAGTAAACTGCATATTGTTAATACATAATTTATGTTGCATAGTGTGTAATGTGGTAAGTAGTTACGAAATCCTACTGCTCCTTCTACTATCATCTCAAATGCTTCTCACTATTGCTAGGACTAACTTATCCTCACCCAGGACACCACTTACCCCAACCACTGCATCCCATTAATCAGATGTATTTTGTATTTGCTTTCCTACAATCCAAACTGTTTGAAACAGCTTCAGACAAAATACTTCTTTTTTGTGTACTCCAATCTCAGTTTTATGTGTCCTTTAGAGTGAGTCCATTCAGATTATAGCTACCCTTATCTGCCAGACACAGTTGTGCTTCCATTCGTACTGCTTGGGAACATACATATTTTATAGCTGGTTTTGGCCAGTAGTCAGTTCCTACCTATTACTAACAATGCCAGGAAGGTTCACACACTGGAATTCTCTACACTGCCAAAAGCTTATGAGTTCACAATCAAACCCTGCTCTCAGGGCCATCACTTTTTGACTATTCCTCCCCTAAACCCACATAGACGCCTAACCATGAAAAACACAACAACCATCCCCTTGACTGGTTCCTCAACATTAAAAGCCAGGACATTTGAAAGAATAAACTTTCAGAAGGTTAATTTTTTTTTTTATCCTCCACCCCCCCAACTCTTCCTCCTCATATTCATGTGAGACGAGAAGGAACTAGCACACAAAGGCAAAGTGCATGTCTCTAATGTACAGTAGATACCTTAAAAAAGCAACATCTCTAAAGTAAAGATATCCTTTCCTTTACCTTCATTATCATCCCTCAATGGACATCTGAAAGTGGCACGATGGGAGGTTATACACATATAGAAAACTCTTCTTTGTGCCAATTCCTGTTCACAATAAAACTATTCTTTGTGCCAATTCCTGTTCACAATAGAAAAGGTTGCTATACCTTATAGGCTATACATGGATTTGTGAAGGTTCATAAATAACATAAAAGCTATGACTGCCAACTTAAAACCCTGGCACCCATAAATGCTCCTTACAGACCTACTGTACCATGAATAAGCAAATTTGCCAGCTCTCTGAGAGCTGGGGTGTACTACAGCATGTTAAACTAATTTCCATTCTAAATTAAGATGTGTGATTCAGTAAGCACAAACGTGGGCATAGTATAGGTTGCATTCAGTTAAAATAGTAAACGTAAAACATATAATTATCTTTCATGTATCTTCCCAGCAAACACTTCTGCCGGTCTTTTCTTAGACAATGGGTTCACTTACTGTGGCAGACAGCAAGGGGCTGACAAGGAGCACAGGGGGAAACCAGGTAACTACCACTTAGAGAGGATAAATAAAAATCATTTGGTTTCCTCCAAATGCCTTGCAGCATACTTCAGGACCCACGTTTGAAAACTGCTTAGTCAGAATGTGAACCTTGGGGGTTAAAACATACTTAAAATAATTTCTCCAAGTTATTAAAAACAGAAGTAGGCCAAATTCTTCCAAGACAATGGGAGCAGTCTTCCTGTTAGGTGTGGACTGCAGTACCGTTTCCAACACACTTTGCTAAATAAGCTGCCAAAGATGAGACACATTCAGGACGACATTATTCATCTTTCTAGGTGATGTGGTTTGAAGTTGTCTCTGAGGGGACTTTATGTAGAATAAAATGGTCTTATTGAAAGGTGGAATGACATGTAATTAAAGAAAGATGCGTTCAGAGGAACGCGTGGTTATTAACAGTTCATTAAGCCACCGTCCCAACCACCCAGCCGCCGGCAGAGCCTCGCCCGACAACCCCCTCCCCTCCCCCCCCGCCCGCCCGCCCCCCCTCCGCCTTCTCCTCCGCTATGACGAATCTGCGCTCGCCTCCTGCCATTGGCTTGGCCCAACGACAGCCGCGTGACGACACCGCGGCGGCTGCCCGGCTCCGGGGGCTCGGCTCTGGACCGGCTTCTGAAACTACTTGTAAATGCCATGAGAACAGCGCGGACGGAGAACTTCTCCAACACATTCCCGGGGAAGAGTCCTTCTGAGGTGTCCCTGAAGCCAGCGACAGGCAGAGGCCAACACAGACTGAGCACAAAGCTGTCAAACGAACATGCACACGCACGCCAATTCCACGACTTCAATGCAATTTGTATTAAAGAGGTTCCATAATAGTGCTTCTAACCCAAAAGCTAAAGTTTCCTTTATATATATATAGATAGATATATAGATATATAGATATGAATACATGAGGAGCACTTACGCCTTTGCTAAAAATATTCCTTGAGCATTAATCAAGGCATTAATTCCAACATGAGGAGCAAGACATGACGCAACAACCCAACCACTGGTAGAATTTATAAGCAAGTTAACTCCACTGTACTGCAAGCAAAGTTAAAGGGAAGGCTTTTTAGGTAAGCAAGAACTATAGATGCCTGTGGTTCAGAGGAAACAGATGTTTAATGATGATAAAGGGATTTGAACACTATGTGATCATCTTCAGAATTAGGAACCTATCATACAAATGTATTTCTTAAAGATTACTGAATTACCACATGAATGAGCATTGTTTTCTTGTTTTCAGATCACTTGAATGTACGTAAATATATGAGGTCCTGGACAAACAACACAATACCATAGGGGAAAAAATATGTCTTCATTATTTCCTTCAAGTCAGGCTAAGAACTGAGAAGAAGTGTTCCATTGATACAGGGAGAAAATACATCTCCCTGCTCAAAAGGCTTTTATCATGCAAAAAAATCATGACCATAAGATTTTTTTATGATTTGCCTGTTTTGTAAAGGTGAAAGAGTGCCAAACTCACATTACTTTATCACTGCTCTATCTCTGTAAGATTTTCATTTTTCTGATGGCCTGGTTAGTCCTCATTCGACATCAGTGTAGGCAAAACATAGCATCTGGTAGTTGCCACAGTATTTTGCAAACAAGCATTTTGAGTTTAACAATTTGTAATGTGTACATTGATTACTCACCATATCCATGAATGCCTCCTAAAGGGGAAATTATTCACGTGCATCATGTTCACAGATCTTCCAACATCAGTGTTTTCCTTGTCAGACTGATTTATCTGTTATGGTATTCATAGGTTCATTCCAGAACTGCATGAGCAGTTAACAGCAGGTATTATTGCAAGAATTACTGTAATCCATAAAAATTCCCAGGATCCAAAGAAAGACTTCTTACAGGGTTTTCTAGGTACATGTCCATCCATTTATGCATCGCTTGCTGCTTAAAAACACTAAACTAATCAGTATACAGAAAATGTTATGACAATGCCAACAGCGTGCCTTGATAAAAATCCAAGTGCTTTTGACTGTGAATTAAAGCATCTTCATATGCAGCATTCTGGACAGTTGGAAGAGGTTAGTCAAAACATAGTTTCTTGTCATCTGTGCCAAATCAGTGGTTAGGGGTAGAGGTGTAACTTCAGATTTCTTTCCCATGTTCAGAAATGAATACTGCTTTTTCTTCTTTCTTAGACACATATTCATCAGTAAGCACTTAATGCAGTTTTCCTTTCTTAAAAGCCCAGTGAACAGTGGGATGTTTAATAGCCATGTAGAACAAACCCAAACTTCTCTCAGTATTTGATACTGTGGGTTTGTTTCTTCAACTAAGAAAGAAGGAAGGAAGTATGCTTTTTCCACTCCATAGGACAGAACTACAGTTAGATACCATCACGAGACATGATTATATCATGATCAAATTCATTTTGCTGTCTAACCCCACAAGACTCTCTGCTCCCTTTAAGTAAAATGACTAAGCTATCGACTCTCACTGCAGAACCCCCCTTCTACTTTGATGTTATACTGTATATAAAACCACGTGCAGCGATTTGTAGGTTGCAAAATGAAAGCAAAGCTTTAAGTCCCGTGTTACCTAAGCATTCCTCCTCTGCTGTCCTTTTTTTCCCCCAATTCAGTTCCCAGACAGTAGTTATCACTCCTCGGGATGATTCTTAAGCCCAAACCACAGAGACGGCATATATTTTGAAGCAACGCAGGCAACAGGCTCTTGCTTCCTTTCCCCTGACAGGAATTTCCAGGCTGCCCCCGAGGCTGCCCGTGTCCTCGCCCGGGAGCTGCTCCGGACACTCGCGAGCTGGACGGTCTGGCACTTACTCTGCAGCAGACTAGGCTCGGCTGCGGTGCGGGCTCTGCCTGGCAGAGACAGGCTGTGCTGGCGTCAAGGGGGACCTCTAGGTGGGTTCTCCTGACAGCACATCCTGCCCTGCCTCTCCCACCGCCGGATGGAGAGGACGGACGGGGACACTGGGGAAGAACAAAGCGGGAAACCGTGCCTTGAAGCAGCCTGTTTCTCTTGGGTGACTGAAAGCAAAGAGCGTTCTGCATGCAAGCGCAGAGATCTGCGGGGAAAGATACATGTAGGACACGGAGTTCACTGCATTGATCTCTGCTGAGAATTAAAAGATTTCTGGGCAACCTTTTACACTTTGACGTACTCAGGCCATACATTGTTTGCTTGCCATTCTTTTAAAGTGGTTTATGCTGCATCAAGACTTTTTAAACTTCAAACAACCCCTTGCCCTTTGGGACAGGAAATCCTGCAGTAGAAAAGCCAGCTGCAACTTCAATGACATTAAAACATGTGATAAGAGTGTGTTTGATTAGGGTGTGCATGGACTCGGGAGTAACATGATAAGATACTGCACTGCACATTTTTAAGGATCCTATTTCCTTAAGCTCAGTTCTGTTGCTGTCACAGCTTCTATTCTACAATACCCCAAATTAGCCCTAGTAGTTGATTCCACTCTGGAGGAAGAATAAAATACCAAACTACTTAAATGTACTACTTGAATTGTCACAATGTGTTGACAGAGAAATAGTATTCAATTCAGTAATAAAAAGGGAGCCTCTACTGCTTCACACATTTGTAAATCACTGTACTTTGAAGAATTGAAATATTACAGATTCCAAAATTTAAAGGGGCTCTAGCACCATTTATGAGCTACTGCTATACACAGAAGGCTGGGTTTTCTTTTTTTCAGTTAAATATAACCATGATTGCAGACAGAGGGTTACAAATAGAATGACAATTAGCCTTTTCTCACTGAGAAGTTAAGATAAAGTGTATATAGAGTAAGTATATATGTATATAAAGTATATATAAAGATAAATATTGAGTATAACTTCTGAAAGGACCAGTTAAGTCATTATGCTTTATGATGCTTTATGGTTATGATGCTTTATGTAAAAAGCCTCCTGCTCCCCACTTTGGGAATTTATATCAGAGACATTTGAAAAGAATACAAACAAAACTGTGGAAACTGCAAGGTTATGTGATTAATCTGAATATGAAAGAAGATAACATCTAAATAATCTAGTTGTCTATTGCTTTCTCTAGGCTAGATCCACTTATTATGAAATATTAACTACACCAAATGCTACACAAATCTGCACCATCATTATTATTTCATACTGCACTTACCTAACTGCATACTTGCCTGATCACCCATGGGCACTGACATTTTCAACACTAGACTTACTGAATGCCTTATACTATCTTAAGAAAAAGCTTCTCAACGCTGACTGGTACCTAACACATTTGAAATCCATGAACAAGTCAATTCAGCATGTATATGCCAACTTATCTGTCTTTCTGTAGTGCTAAGTTCAGGTCAAAGAATAGCACCCATTGTCTTGGCTAATTCCATTCAGAAGCAGAGTTGCAGAAGGAGAGTGGGAATATATAAAGTTAACATATAGCATTACAAACTAGTTCAGTAATTCATGGACAAAGTGGAATACACAATATATGCTCTTTCCAGAGCAGGGATAAATTAAACCCAGAGACTTTAATCAGTAAAGAATTTTAGTTATATTTCCAGTATAGGCTGATTTGCAAAATTCTTTCAGTGCAAGCCCATAATAGTTTGCTCATCAGTTCACTTGGGGAAAAAAAAAAAAAGCAGCAGCTAAAAACATTTAGTGACATTAACTTTAGAGGTTTGGTTTCTGGGTGGGGTTTTTTTTTTGGTTTGCTTTTTTTTTTTTTTTATATGACTGGATAAGAATTTTGGTATGTCAGTTCCAATTCAGGTTCACCAAGAGTTCTGTGAAAAGCCTTTCAAGCAAATTTCAGCTCAAGGAAAAAAAAAAAGTAAAAGCATTTCAAAGTATATTTTGCTTTTATTCTTCCCGTGTTCTGCTACCAGAGCGGTGCTCTGACCATAAGAATGGAAGCTCTAGTGCATCTTCCACATTTGTTCAGAATTTAGGCTAGGCATAAAGAAGCCAGAGGGAGAAAGACAGAGGCACAAACAGGAATCTACCAGTGCTGACAGCTCTTCCCTGAGATGGAGTAGTCCCATATTCCAGTCCCTTCTGCAAGGTCTTCTTGAGAATTTTCCACTAAAATGAATAAGGTAATGGACAAAGTATGTTTGTAGCTGGAACCAGATTACCTGAAAGCACGTCTTGCTTCCAAATAATTAGTTACATTGGACTACAGAGCATGAATCTATCCTCTTTCTCTGTCTTACTGGTCTTGGGAATCCTGCATTTCTACACTGCCCAATGAAACATCCAAACAGGGAGGAGTGAGGAGTATGTCGTATAAACCTTGATTTGGATCATCCTATTAACAGTGCAAAACTGAGGACACATTTCCATTTCGTTCTTTGGGGGTAGCAGAGCCAGAGAGAAGATTATCTACATTCTCATGTCTTAATTTTCGCAGTGTTCCTCCCACAGCTCTCAGCTTTTTGATTACTAGTGATATCAGAAAATTCACTTAAGAATTCGCTACGTTCTGTGTCTGTTAAGCTGAATATAGAGTATTTTCTTTGCCTCTTCTCATAGCTGCAAATGCACTAGCAGACACCAGAGGAAGAGTTTACCTTGTGATGGTTTTGGTCATGATCATAGAATTACAGAATAGATTGAGATGGAAAAGACCTTTAAAGGTCACCTAGTCCAACCACACAGCAATGGGTAGGGACATCCTTAACTAGATCAAGTTGCCCAGTACCACATCCAGCCTGATCTTTAATATTTCCAGGGATGGCACTTACACCACCCCTCTGGACAATCTGCTCCAGAGTTTTACCACCCTCATGGTAAAAAAATCTCTTCCTTATGTCTTGTATGAATATCCTCTCCTTGAATTTAAAGCCATTAGCCCTTGTCCAGTCTCTACTGACACTACTACATGATGATCATAAGTGCTAAGAGAGGTAAGAACTGCTATTCTGCCAGTGTCAGACTTTGAATATAGAAAATCAACAAAACCAATCAAAATATATAATATATAAACCAGATAGGTCATGAGAACCAAACAACACTAGGGGCATACAGAACTGCCATTTGTATTCTCAAGAATGAGTGCAAATTATCTGAAGAGATCAGTTTAACTTAGTAATTTTTTTTTTTTTAAGGGAGAAAAAATGTCATTGAATCAAGTATTTTGGTGACAGTACAATAATACACAGAGCAAAACATGTATCTAGGAAGGTAAAGGTAATGCTGACCAGTTGGACCCTCAGGATGGTGGTAAATGACAATAGCTCCTTTTCAAACTGGCAACCAGTGGGGTATATCAACTGTCACAAGTGGGATCCCTCAGGGATGAAAATTGGGCCCAACACTGTTTAATATCTTCATAAGTGATCTGGATGATGGGATCAAGTGTACTCTGGCCAAGTTTTCCAGTGATAGCAAACTGATTGGGAAATTGGACAGTTTGGACAGCAGAGGCACCCTGCAGGACGACCTGGATAGGCTCAAAGAGTGGGCTAACAAGAACTTTATGATGTTCAGCAAGGACAAGTATAAGGTTTTGCACCTGGGTAAGTACAATCCAAGAGTGCAGCACAGGCTGGGATATACTCGGCTGGGTAACAGCTCTGTGGAAAGGGACTTGGGGGTCCTGGTGGAGAGCAAGGTCAGTATGAGTGAACAGTGTGCTGCTGTGGCAAGGAAAGCCAACAGTATGCTGGGTTACATCAAGGGAATCACCAGCAGAGATAGAAAAGTCATTATCCCACTCCACTCTCACTTGTCAGGTCACACCTGGAATATCTGTGTTCAGTTTTGGTCCCTGCTATAAAAAACAGATGTGGACAGGCTGGAGAGGGTCCAGAGAAAGGCCGCAGAGATGATCCAAGGACTGGGAAGCCTGCCCTATGAAGAAAGGGTGAGAGAAGTGGGTTTGTTCAGTCTTGAGAAAAGAAGAAGGAAGGCTCAGGGGAGATTTTATCACCATGTTCCTGTATTTAAAGGGTGTCTACAAAGAAGATGGGGGCTCATTTTTTAGAAAGAGTGACATGAAAAAGATGAGGGGTAATGAAGTTACTCCCGGGGATATTCCAGTTGGACACAAGTGGAAAATTTTTCACAATACAAACAGTCAGCTATTGGAATGATCTCCCCATGGAAGTGGTGGATTCGCCAACATTGGACACTTAAGATTCAGCTGGACAGGGTACTGGGCCATTTCATCTATACCATGCTTTTGACAAGAAAGGCTGGACCAGATGACTTTTGAGGTCCTTTCCAACCTGGTAATCTATGATGCCAAGATTCTGTGAATAGTTGAGCCTGAAATATGTTATCAGTGAGAAGGAGCATTCATTGGGATCAAGTCCAAGGTATGTGATGTAATGCACAAAACATGTACGGTGGAGACAGGTATTTCCAACCTTCAGGAGAAAACAAACAAAAACCAAAAGCAAAACCAACCAAAAAAAAAAAAAAACAACACAAAAACAAACAAAAAGGCAAAACAGGGCATTTTTTTCTTTTTAACCAATAACGAGATTGCCCAAAACAGAAAGAAAGAAACTTGATAAAAACTCGAAAGTTAATACTGATTAATCTCCAATATTATGAAAATATAATGTATATATCTGACAATTCTGCATACGTCGGATTCAGTTCTATATTTGGAGTGTTAGAATCCCTTTGTTATTTATAAATTCTCCATGAAAACCATATAGGTTATAAAATGAATCATAGACTAGTTAGGGTTGGAAAGGACCTTAAGATCATCTAGTTCCAATCCCCCTGCCATGGGCAGGGACACCTTACACTAAGCCATGTCACCCAAACCAAAATGAACTTGGTAATGAAGCAGGAAGAAGGGCATTCCACTGCATACAGTTAATCATCCAAGTGATATGTCTTTAGACACACAACTTTTTAGCTCCACAAACATTATTTTCTGTAAGAACAGTGCAAAAAGTAAAGGCACAAATTAAACTCCTCAGAATCCTCAACAGAGTGAACAGATAAGCTGGATAAGCTCCTTACCACATTTTAGACTGGTTTACTCACAGGCAAGTGTTACGTGAGTCTTTGTCAAACCAAGTAACTCAGCTTTTTGTCCTGTCTTCTTCCTCTACCATCCACCCTGCAGGAAAATTAGCTAACTACTGGACCCCCTTCTGGAGTAAGTAAATTATTCCTTCAGAGAGAAAAACCCGTGCAACTTCAGAAGCAGTTTGCTCCAAGCAGT